CTTGCGCATATGATTTATGTTTCGCACATGACCTCATTATGATGTCATGGGTTTCGTGCATATGACTCAGTCGAGTCATATGACTTGTTTATTGCGTTATGATTGGTTTATGAGTTTCACACATGACCTCGCTATAAGGTCATGGGTTTTGAGCATGTGATCACTTTGGTCACATGACTAGTTTGTTTTGATTTGGTTTCACACATGTGACCACTTTAGGTCACATGATTAAAGGCGGGAAGAACACTATATAAGGAGGCCGATGCGGCCGAGGAAGATAGATTCTTCACGCTTTGTTCTAAGTACTTTTCCTACATATTACTTTAACGAATATAAAACACCTTTACGATCTTTATCCTTATTGCAACATTATCGTTACGCCAAGAAGCACTTGTTACGAAGACGAGTTAGAGAAAGCTTCCGATAGGTGTTTCCGATAGAAGACAGAGGTCTTGTACTATCGGTGACATAGGCAGAGGCCTAGAGCTATCGTAAGACAAGGAAAGAAAGGAAAAGGAAAGATAAGTATCGTTCCCCGTTGCCAAGAACTAACTATCTGAAAGGGGATCGTTACACCTGACCGAATATCCCCTCTCATATATTCCACAAACAGGATCCGGTCAAATGGACTACAGCGATGTATTTGGTATTATACTGACACCTTCAGTTTTGTGGTATTATAGTCACAGGACGCAACTGATATTGATATGTATGATAACATACAGGCCCTATAAGGGGGCTGGAGGGGGGTGTTAGGGACCAGATATTCTGATTGTGGGTGAGGTTATCCTATTTAGGGTATTTTCTATGTATCGGATCCCGGTATTCCTAACACATACCCAATCTGCTGAAGGGAAAATCCAATATGTTCCTGGATCCTTGCATATCTCCAGCCAATGGACTGCAGCAGCTGACAGTCTTGCCTCTAATCCCTGATCAGATGTGTGGTCTTCAGTGCTAGTTGGAGTGGTATGCCCAGGGATGGTAGAGGAGTAGCAGACATCTTCCAGTGGACTGAGTGGAAAGAGAAATAAAAATTGCTTTATTGAAAGGTCAGTCATAGCTTGCCAATCATGAAGCTTCCATGAAGCTTTTTCAAATTTGTGTTCACATCCACTGGCATAGACATGAAAATTCTTCACTCTCACTTACCACCAAGTCATGCAAGCAGCCAAGCCACTATACCAGATTTGCCGCACTTATCTCCCTGTCTGCAGCTGACCCCTACTAGCAAAATCTACAAAACTTATACGCTGTACCTCCGTATGTAAATGGAGGTCAATTTCACTCACGGCCCACTTCTCCATCGCGTATGTTAACCTTATGAATTCTGCTGGGATGCTAGAGTGTAGAGTTAGGAGGGACTGGGCTGCTATTCGGGGGGTTGGCCGGGGGGGGGTATAATAGTTTAAAAGCCTCAACGACCGCACAAGCCGACTGACCACAAATAAAACTATATTCCGAGAGTTATAGTATCGCAAGGTATCATACTATCATGATTATAAATATTGTGCGAAGACTTACTCGATATGGTATTATTCGCGGCTCGTTCACTTGGGATATGGAAATCGTCTTGTAAGGGATGAAGGCCCTTAGGCTATGGTAGGAGTGAGAGTTTAAGTGACCGAGAAATGTATTTCTCCACTCCTAAAGGAACATATAGAGCAAAGTCAGCTCCCAAGACCGAACTACTAGACCAACAACTTTACCATTTGAAATATAAATTCTCATGATACAGGGAGGCGACCTGCCGGGCGCTCAGCTTCTAGGGCCCAGAGGTCCGGTAAAACATGGCAAATTTTGTTGCGTCTCCAGATGTACTAGTATCATAGTGCCTAAATATGATACCACTTGGCAGGTCCAGGGACAATTTTCTCGCAATTTCCTTTTCCATGGATGAGCTATTTGCTCCTGGGAAAAAATTTTGACCTGTTTTATTCCACGCTTCTCAGTAGGGTTGCCGTGCAGTTGGGAAAATTGACCAAAACAAATGCTCGAGTAGTCTCTGACATCTGGAACCCCCCGCCCCATAGATTTTCTCAGCAATGCACACAAAAACCACTGCCTTTGACGCAAATTTGTATGTGGATCACTCGAATACCGGACCATGTTTCCCTGCCTGAAAATGCTCACCCCACTGTTAATCAATGTATAACAGGATTCGATAAAAGGTTGGGGTCGACAGAATATAAGAGGATCTGATTCTGAGCAATTCTATCGAGTTCGTCCCCCCCTCGCCGGAACAAGAATTACCCCCCCTTGTTATCGCTGCCCCGGGGAGTGTTGGTTTCAGAATCCCAGCACAGTATGATACTCCCAGAAGGCATCTAATATCCGGATCTAGATAGATGAGCTCTTAAGACGGGTGAGCACTTTCCTGACACGGAATTGCCCGGCATCTGAGATCTCATTAACAGGGTTTTCACCATTGCCTTAACTTGCCAGGCTAAACCTATCGCGGATTGATGCTGGATTTCCACGAATAATTATGGCGAATCGCACGGGTTTTTACGGTCCCATATTGCGGAAATCTACCGAGGCGCTCGCTGGGCCCTAAGCAGTGTTGGGGTTGTTCCCAGCTTGGGGAATTAACCAGCAAAACATCCCTGGCCAAAATCAAATTTCTCATGCTGGGTGATTATTCATTGAATGCAAAGACAAGCCCATAGTTGCGGAAGCGTACTTGGAAATGGGGAAAAAAGAGAGAACACGTATTCTGGGTTTATTGTGGTCCGCGGAAGCAAGAAAAACGGCTCTGCCCCCGATTCAAGATATCATACCATAACCATAAAGCTAGTCACTAATTTAACCACCTTGTGATGCGCTGATTCTGGTGTGTCCCGACCTTATATGATATACACTTTCAGTTACACAATGTGTGGTTAAGGCACTGCCGGCACTAGTAGCACCCTTATGGTTAGCAAGGAAGCTTAAAAAAACCTTCTTGTAAAGTTACTACAGCCTCATAATGCGCACAGTTATCAGCCAAAAAGGGAAGCGTTTCGCGCAAATCGGACGATACTACCGCCAAGCAATAAAGGCCTCTGTGCAATCGTGCTGTTGTGTTCCAGATGTACGAGGTACCATACGAGCACTCGGTAATCCAGTGTTCAGGACTCGGATCAGGGAACCAAAGACTGGTAACATTTCGAGTTTTAATATCAGGGGCCTGAAGGCAGAATGGTTTGGTGAGTTGAAAGGAATCTCCTTTCCACTGGGCCACTTCAATAGGGAAACTGCAGACGTATAGATTAGCCTGAGCCACGGGTATGGGTTTGTTGGCGGAAGGGCCGCTCGTGCGGTGCTATATATGCTGGAAGGTTTGTGCTGTTTGAGAGAGGACGGGCACTTGTGTTATGTGGCACTAGGGGAAACAAGCCTCCCTCGACGTGTATTGTAGACTTTACCGGTGGTTTAATCCAGTTGCACGAATAGGGATGAATTGTGGGATGCTGTGTGGTAGGGGGAGCAGTTCACCGGTACTTCCCCGGGCAGGCGACTTGCCACACATTTCCAAGTACCGGTGCAAAAGAGATCTGATGGGACGAGGAGACGCAAATTTAAGTTGTACGAGTAACAGCCACAACCACAAAAAGATCTGATACCGGTACAGTATCTCTCTCGGACCTTCCCGAAAAGTCTCAATGTGCTAATGGAATACTAGCACCGAAGAAATTTTCGCAGCGACTTAACCATGGGTTCTCTCTCGCTGATCACTTTCTTTCTTGCCTTCATTGTGGTACGGTAGACCACACGGACTCGCTTAGGGGTTGATCAATCCAATGGGGTGAAACACTGTCCAA